TCAGTCCATTTTGTCCTCACAAAAGCACAGTACCACACAAAAGTCTCTGATTACAAAACATTCTCAAGATAAAACCAGTTATCTTGATTAGTTGAACTTAATTATTGATTATATGCTAACTAATTGTTTTCTTTCACACCTTGCCAACATGATTCAAGTTGTCTGTGAAAGAGAACTTGAATCATGTTGGCAAGGTCACCAAAACATTAATAAAATTATACAATAGGATGACCTAATTTAATTCTTGGGAATACATTATTTGTGGGGTTGCACTTCATGGTACCCAGTCATCTGCCAGTTGGTCAAATCATGGTTGTGCACCCACTGGTTATCAAGCGCCAGTTGGTCCAACTGCCAGCCAGGGCAGTCCTTTGCCTTGCGAATCCCCAGTCCACCAAACCATGGTCTGGTCACCCAATTGTTGGGGCACCCAAACAATTGGGTGACAAGAATCATGCTGATTCTTTCTAGAATTTGGTGAGCAGAATGGTATCCTACCACAGATTATTATTTTTTTTTTTACAAAATTTTAACATAACATAAACTGACTGAACCTAACCTAACATTGCTGAAATTTTGCACAAACAAATCTGTGGTTGGATACCATTCTGCTCACCAAATTCTGGAAAAAATCAGCATGATTCTTGTCACCTGATTGTTTGGGTGCCCCAACAATTGGGTGACTGGACTGCGGTTTGGTGGCCTGGGGATTGGCAAGGCCAAGGACTGCCCTGGCTGGTGGTTGGACTGACCGGTGCTTGACGGCTGGCGGGTGCGCAACCATGAATTGACTGACCAGCAGCAGACCAGACACGGCACTTCATGGTGTGACCCAAGCAAAGCATCCTTGCTTGGGCATGCCAACACTGCAGGGCAAGAAAGGCACATGCAGCAGAAATCCCTGCTGTGCACCCAATTTGCCGCATTGCAGTGAATCAGGAATGTAAAATGGGAAATTGGCCCAATTGCCATTGTTCATCTCTCTTCTGCTTCATTGTTGGTGAAGCTAGCAGACACTTGCCAGGTTTGCCTCAAAGAGCCAGGACCTATCCAGGAACTGTCTTTGTGTGCAAGATGTTGTGTGTTGATTGTGTATCTGAAAGGCTTGTATAGGATTGGATGTGTGCCTGTCTGCCTGATTGCCTGTGGCTAGGGTTTTGAGTTGAGATTAAAAGAGGACTTTTAAGGGACTCCCTTCAAGAGGATCCAGCCTCCTAAAGGCTGCACACTGAGTTTCATTTTCTAACCCTTTGTTGGATACCGGCCTGACAGTATTAGCATAGATGCAGTATAATTTATGAATCCCAGGGGTATTTTTATTGTATTTTAGAAAAAAAAATTGCATTCAATTTCATACCTGATTTTTATGCAGTGAAATATGATTACAACAAAGCTCTTGATTTAGTAAAAGAGCTTTACTTTAATGAATTTTTTCTCACTTTAACTTTTTCAACATTTTGGCTTTTGGACATATGTAACCTAAAAATGGCTTCATTGTAAGCAATTGTTCATTATACAGTGGATCCAGCTTAGTTAACAAACTGCTCAGTTAAAAAATGTTTGGCATTAAGGAAAAATCCCTTGGTTAACAAATCAAGATTTGGCTAATGAACTTTCTTCTAGAGAAAAATCCCAAATTTGAAGATTAAAAACTTGATTTTGAGGCTGAAATTCATGGTAGAATCTACACCTATGCAAATAATTCACCTATGCACTCATATGAAATTTCTTCTTTGCTGGCACTCTATAATATGTGTGATCTGTTTTAATTTTTTTCATTAACCTCATTCATACACTGGTTTGCTCTTCTGTATCAGATTATTTTCTTTTCTGTGCTTGGTCTTTCTAGTTTTTCAATTGGAATTGTTGGAACTACTGGAAATACTGTTTCAATTGTTGGAAAGGTCTATTTGATTCTTATAATACTTGCAGCATTAAAAAAGGAATTCCATATTCACCTGGCATATATGTGTTTCTCTGAATGTGTAAGCTTTTTAATGTGGTTTTCTGGGCTATATAAGCTACTGGGCTTATATGAAATGTATGAACAACTTATTCTGATTATAGTTCATGGTCTTGAATTTTTACATAAAGTGTTCAATTGTCTTTGCGGTTTGCAAAAATGGATTAAATGCTTCCCATGTGAAGTATACTGGGGAAAATCAAATTTGGTTAAGTTTATTTTTACCAGGGGTCCACTGTGATGAGATTTTGCTGTATTGTTTTGACTCTGTTGGTAGCCCTTTTTTCCACTAACCCCATTAGATTGCCATAAACATAAAAAATAATGTTGGTGGTGTATTATTATTGAAGCTTGACTGCACAAAAACATATCAGTTCAGGTCTATGCTATACAGGTGGTACCTTGGAATTCAACCCTAATCTGTTGCTGAACTAGGGTCAAATGGCAAGACCATGTCAAATGGCAATTTTTTTCTAAATGGCATTTGACATTTCAAGTCTCTCATCCACAAGTCAAATTAAGAGTTGACCTCCCAGCAAATTTGACCATCAAATTGCAGGATTGTTGCATTGAAAGATATCACTTTTATGATGATTACCTCATATTTTGGTGGTCATATTTATTGGCAGATTTTGGCTGTGCAACAGTTATATATAGGGGCCAAAACGCGGAAGTCGAGATCTGCATGTGTACCATGAGGGGGGGGGGGGGGGGAGATGGGAGACGAGGGACGATGAGATACAAGGAGAGAACCCGGTTCGCTGTTCGGTTTTTGTCCAGCAGAGAAAAGGAGAAGAAGAAGAAGAAGAAGAAAACAGTAGCAATCGGCATTTGTCAACCTTACCAACAGGAAAACAAAACAAAACAAAAAAAAGGAAAATGAGGCGGCAAAAGACGAGACCTCCCTTTATTTTCTCGATACTGGTAAAACCAGTCCAGCAAACATCCCGCGAAAAGCATCCAAGTCAATGTTGGCTGTTCTTGGGAAAAACGCCGCTTTTTTTTTTTCCTCCATTTTTTTTCTTCTTTCCTTCTCGACTCATCCTGCTTATTTATTCGAAAACTTTTATTTTTTTGTTTTGACACCCCCCCCCCCCCCCCCCCCACCCCCCCCCCCCCCCCCCTCCCTGACAAATAAACTTTTTTTTTTTTTTTTTGACCCCCCCCCCCCCCCCCGCTTTTCTTTGCACCAATGGTGTGTCTCTTGATGTGTCTACTATTTTTCTCCGGCCTTTTCCTTATTATTGGAGAGCATCCCTCCTTTTTCTCTCTCTCTGTGCTGACAATAAGAAAAGCTCCAGGAAATAACTTCCCAGGCGCAGTTACTGCAAGACTTCTTCTCCTTTGGCTGAATATCTCCCTGTCTGCCTAATTTCAGCTAGATCCCTAAGGTTTCAGGAAGTGTTAGGCAGTGTTCCTCAACCTATGGTCCATATATGGACCAGCACTGGTTCCCACAAGTTTTTTGCTGCTGGTCCATCATGGGAAATTTTCTTCAGCATATAATAAATTTATAAGAAGTGGCAATGAAGTCTGTTATCCTTGTCTGAAATTTGGAAAAAGACAATGGCAGTTGACATTATTTGAAGAAAAATGAAAGTAGTTGGCTTGTCTCCTAATAATGAGGCTTCCAACAAATTTTCACCTGCTGAAATGAATATTTTAATTTTTCATTCTGAGAAACATTTTTTCAAGCCCAGCACATTTCACCAGCATAGCTGCTTCATTATTGGTTTGTAACTTAATTTTTGTAAAAAAAAAAAGTGGAAACTTTTTGAAAACCTACCATAAAAAGTCTTGAAAAAAAATTTTTGAGCCTGCAGAAATTTTATGAAAGTTTGCTGGTCCACAGAAACTGTTTTGCGAGTCCCAAATACATTTTATGAAAATGTGCTGGTTTGCATGTCATCCAAAAAGGTTGAGGAACATTGGTGTATAAGGTACCATTCCTGGAATTCATCATTTTAGTCAGTGTGATGGAATGATTGTGAAACATCTCCTTGTAGATCTCAAGATTTTCTGTTGTACAAGAAAGACACTTGCATTTTTTTTTCATATGGGTGTTCTCAGTTGAAGTGCTTTCAGCAGGTTGGTTCTGGGGTAGATAAAATGAAATATGACACAACACATTCCCACTAATCACGCATGCATATACAAACATACTTATGCGAGGTCATTGAGGACAGGAGGTGTGTATTGCAAGGCAAGATCTTGTCTGGAATTGGAATTTTCTCAAGTGACTGCATAATTTGAGTAAAAATCAGGCTCATTATCTTTAGGATTCCAAAAGTGATCAATATTTTTTTTAATAATTTCCATTCCACTGGACTGTATTTTTTATGATGTACTTCTGTTACGCACTGTAAAACGGACAGAATATGTGTTTTCTAGTAAATGTATCATAGAAAAACATTAAAGTCTGTATAATCATTGTGTATAAAATTCACCAACTCTCCTTGTGCCAAAATTTGCAGGAAACATTAAGAAGCCATTGGGACATGGGGAAAATCTTTTGTTATAAAAAAAATCATTATACAAGTATTACTCAAAATCATTCCAGCTATACTTATCATGGACTTCGAAAAATGTAGTTTCCAAACAGTTAATTTTGTATAACAATACAAAAAATAGGCATAAAAATGAGTTGACAGGAAATGTGGCAAAATACAAATGCTGTACTGTAATTTTATTTTCACAATTCTGGGCTGTTCACTTGGAATTTTAAGCATGAAAACTCATCATTGGGGTTTGCTGGATCATCAAATAAAATTTAAAAATGATTAATGATTAATGCCTCTGTGATGGAAATGATTTGTGGGGCAATTTTTCTTATAAAACTTTTCAGAAAATCCTAACTATAAGCTTAAAAAGCATAAATGTTGTTCTAAAAAATCAAGCTACATTTTTGAAATTTAAAAAATATTTCTGATTTTGAATCCCCAATGAAAAAGCCAGGAGATTTTTTTATTTATTTCAGCAGTGCTGGTTGTCTATTTTGTTTTGAACAATCAATGTATTTTCTGCTTGCTATAATACTGTATATACAGGACTTGAGTAAAAATGGAATTTGTGGTATGGTGTTGGGCAGTGGTGGTGTGTGGCCTTCATGTGAGTGCTGGGGTACATGGCAGGGAGATTGGTGGTACCCCTAGGGTTGAGATCCCAACCCTGGGCAAGATGTTGGGCACCAAGGAGCTCAGTGGAACTGGCAGCAACCCTTACACTGCCTTCAGGGGCATTCCATATGCACATCCCCCTGTAGGAAACAACAGATTCAAGGTATCTGTGTACAGTACTTAGAATACAGGAGTCCCAAATCCCAATGTATATGTAGAAATAGGTGGACTCTCCATCATATACAACACTCCTGCTGCCTTAAATTATTTTCTCCACCCAACATTTTCATGAGGTTCTTTCATCACTACATTGGCATTGTCTACAACAAATGATTTTGTGCTCCCTTGAATTTTGTTGTAAAGAGATCCCACCTATTTTCAGTCAAACCATTCCTTTATTTGAATTTCCAGAATATCACTGGTAATCAATTCCCTTAAATGCGATGCAATTCAAGCCTCCATGACTGGAAAACCTATTTTTGGTCAAACCTCATAAAATGTGTAGGCACATTTCAAAGACTTCTTATTTGCTGAATTGAAGCTAAATAATTGTAGAACACCTGCTCAAGAAAACAAAAAAGCAGATGAAAGTTGCTTTGCACTCTCCACAAGAGATTATAAGAATCATCTGAAGGGCACTGTGAATAATGAACTGTAGTAATAATTTGGCTGAAATTAATGTTTCTGTAGTGTAGGGGAACCTCTTATAGAAGTTTCCTTTAAGATTATTGAAGTCTAATTATTCATGGTAACCCCTTTATGAGCCTGAAAGGAAAAAGGCTGGTTTTTCTAGAGCAGAGAAATACATCTACTTGTAACTTTTCTTTCATTAACCTACTGCTGTAGTGTCAAATGGCACTTGATTCTCAAACTGAAAACTTTTTCTCAAGTTTTGTTGGTAGTCCTTCAATTTTGACCTGCTAGGTTCACTTGCATTTTAAATTATAACTCAAACAATCACATTTTGAATAAGAAAGTTCATCCTGAAAAACTCTGAATAGCTCATGATATTTTGACCAGAAAAGAGTTGCCATTGCTTATGACCTACCCAACAGAAACCCAATTCCCCAGCTTCAATAATTGTTCTTTAGTCTCTTTGAATTGAACTTGAGAGAGGTGACTCGAAAATTTTTTCAGCATAAATTTGGAAATATGTATGCATGTTCTGTTTTTTTCAGCCTCCAGAGATTCACTATGCGTGGCCAGGGATACTCAATGCTTCTTCCTATGGACCTGATTGCATGCAGCCTTCAAAAATCAGAGGAACATCTGAAGATTGCTTGACTTTGAATGTATTTGTTCCCAGACAAGTCACACAGGTGAGGATGATGATTTGTTGTCCTTATCATCAGGAGCAGTACAGTATTAAGACCACTGCTTCCTAAAAACAACCTGAGGGCCAGGTGCGGCCCACAGAAACTCTCCATCCATCCTGCAGTCACTTGCCTATAATTTCAAGGTGGCAACTACCACTAATCAATATATATTTTGAAAGATAAATTTTTATAATGAAAAATGTTCCTCTGCCCTTCAGAAATTCTGAGGTTATGCTTGCAATTCAGTACCTAGCATCCACTCAATTCAAGTAGAAAGTTTTCTTTGAAATTGAACAATTTGGAACCTCAAAATTTATAGTCTGTTTTGGCCTGCAAGTACTCTCCACCTCTGCAATATGGCCCTTTGTTTAAAGAAAAAAAATGCATGAATGTGGCCTTTGGCTGTGTTTCACTTGAGCAGCTCTGATTTAGACCAGTTTTCCCCAACTGCTGGTGGTCCACAGACCAGTGCCAGTCCACAGAACTTTGTTGCAAGTCCATGGGAAATTTTCTTCAGCATGATAAATGAATCAATAGTAGCAATGAAGGACATTACAGTACATATATCTTGTAGTGTAGGGGAACCTCTTAAAGGTTCCTTCAAAGACCAGTGAAGGTCAATTATTTGTGATTTTGGCAAGACAAAGGCTGTTGAAATTATCTGATGAAGAATAAAAGTTGGCTTTTTTCTAATAACACTTCAGACAATGTATCACCTGCTGAAATAAATTACATTAATATTTCATTGTGAGAAATTTTTCTTCAAGCCAACCTATCCAACTTTTTGAAGACATTCAAGTGTAGCTGATGCTTCATTGTTTCTCAACTTGATGTTTTCAAAAAAGCACAAGCATTTTAAACACATGCCTGCCCGAGTGGGGAGCTATTTTTGCTGTGACCCAACAGTAGGTGCACACCAGGGTCACAACTGGAGCATATGGGATATTCTGGGGGTACAAGTGTGCACTCCTGTAGAGGAAATTTTGCTACCATTCCAGGGTTACACTTGGTGCACAAATGTGAAATAACAGGAGCATCACACAAATGCACCAACTTTAACCTTGGTGTAACTTATTTGTTTACACATGTGACCCTGAGTAATCCTGGTGTGAACACACAATTGGTGCACATTGGGGATATGCGTGTACAACAGAAGAACTTTGGTACACTTCAGTTACACAGCAGGGTTACTGTGTAGAATTACGAACAAATCCCCAGTGTGCACCAATTTCCCCAGTCAGGTGCATGAAGTCTTTATTCAAACAAAACGTTTCTGAGTCTGAAAAAGTTTTATGAAACTTTGCTGGTCTACAGAATTTTTTTTTAGGAATCTGCCAGTCTGTGAAACATTTTATGGAAATTTGCAGGTCCATGTGCCCAAAAAAGGTTGGGAAAACTGATGTATAGACTAGACACCCTTTTTTGGGGGATGAGAGGATTGAGAGCTGATTCACCAAGAGTGACATCTATGCGAGAGTTTCCTTAAAGTACACTACCTCCTCTGATTGATTTCATTCTATTTTCTCCTGTTTGGCTTTTGAAGGGTTCCCAACTCCCAGTCTTCGTGTTTGTCAGAGGAGGAGGATTCATGAATGGAGGCGGGTCCATCGAACCTGACAACCTCATGGACAGAGGGGACATTGTTCTGGTCACCCTCAACTTCCGGCTTGGCCCATTCGGTAACATTTCTGTTTATAATTTTGTTCTCCCAAGATTTTCTGTATGAGCAGCTTCCGCGGTGGTGCATGTCACCTATTCATTCATTCCTTTTATGTTACGAATATATTCGAACAGGTTTCTTGTCCACGGATTCCTTCGAGGCGCCAGGGAATTATGGTCTTCTGGACATTATTGCTGCCCTCAAATGGGTCAACGAATATGTGGAGCATTTTGGCGGGAATAAGCACAACTTGACCCTGGGGGGATTCAGTTGCGGTGGAGCAGCTGTGCACATGCTAATGACCTCACCTCTGGCTAAAGGTGCTGATTCACTCCTGATCCTGACTTGCATTCATTTCATGGTGTGCAGGGAAATATTTTTACAGGGATGACATTCTATTGATATGGGAATTGGAGAAAATATGTATTGCATTGCACTAAAACAAAAAAGTCACAATGAAGACATTTTAATGAGGTTGTGACTTTTGGACATTAATCTAAAATCTGGAGTGTTTTATTGTGAGCAAGAATTATTCCTTTTAGCTAGATTTTTTTTTACTGTCAAACCTCTTTAAGTCAAATTTCTAGTGACCAGGAAAAAATGCAACTTTGGGAGGTTTTGATTTTTTGAGGTTTCCAGTTAAGGAAACAAACATTTTTATTGTGAGGAAAAGTATAATGAAATTGCGGGAAATGGAAAACATGGATATTCTTGGCCTAAACTTGCTTCTTGATGAGTTTACAACTTGCAGAACTTGGAATCATAGGCTCATTTGTTTTATTAGTCTTTCACTTTCTTTCAAGATGCATCAAATCATTAGTTTCATTGATTTTCTCTTCCATATTTCAAGGAAAGAATAACCAAAAGGCCTCAGAAAGCCCACCTTAAACAGAGGTTTTAGAGAAGAAGACTTTGAGTTATGGCGGTTTTTTAATGCAATGATTCAATGGGAATCTAGGCAGGGACTTTAAAAACAATTGGACTTATGAATGTATTTGACTTAGGGAGGTTTGACTTATCCAGGTTCAACTGTAACACATTTTTAATTTATTTATCCAAAGAATGTTTGAGACATTGTACAAAATTATGGAAGCTGTGAATCTATAACTTTGCTCAGATTCTGCATATCCCCTGTTTAAAATTCACACATTTTTAAAATATTGTTAATCCCATTCTAATTTGCATGCATGTAATCATGTGTGATGCACACTCTGTTTCCATTTTCTTACTACATTTTAGGGAGAAGGGAGATGTTGTCAAATTACACCATCAAAGGGTTTACTTGACCATTATTGCAATATAACGTGGTCTCACTTGCCTTTAATCTTTAAAATGTAATCAAAATGAATGAGTACAGTTGATTCTCTCAAAATGTAATTCAAAGGGAAACAAAAATGTCAACTTAATTAGAGAGTTTTTTGAGTACAGGAAATTGACTTCTTTTATTAGGCATAGGCTGATCAACAGAAATTACGTTTGGAAAAGATTGATATAATTGTTCATTATTTAGTCATGTCCTATGTCTGATGCTGGAAGATGGACAATCCCTTATGAAGAGCGTGAAGAACCTACTTTTCATCTGTTTTTATTCCTTTTTGGAACAGGTGTTTTAGAATTTAGCCCGAATTTAATGACAAAAGATGTCTCAAAATTTGGCTGAGGGAGCATTCACCGAAAAGGCTTGGATTTTGGAAGTTTTAAATGGCATTGGATATGAGCAATTTTGTCTGGGATCAGCTGCATATATTCTAATTAGGGAGGTTTTACTTGGCAATGTTCATTTACATAATTGATGAAAGAATTGAGAAGAAATTGTTGTTGTACACTTACAATTTTACAACCAACAGGACTTTTTCCTGATTTGGCAACCTTTAAGAGGATAATCAAATTGAAGTGTTGATGGGATCATTATTAATAGTTTGCTCCCCTTTCACCAGGCGCATCCTAGACCTAGTACTTTGAGTACTTTGGACAATTCTAGCAAGTAAAACACAAGTAATTTTGCTTTACAAGTGTTTATTCAGCTTCAAAAAACATACGCAAAATATAGCAACGCCTACAATGAACTCTGCTTCTCTTTCAGAGGGTCTTTTACCACTGTCTCAATTCTGGTCAAGCAGGGCCTTTTATTAACTCTAGAAAACCAGACAGACTAGGGTCATTGCTCAGACAATATTTGTCCAAGCCAAACAAAAGAAAGGAAACACAAAGTGTTCTGCATCAGCCACGTTTCTCTATTAGTGATTTATATGGCGGTTGACCACCTGAGGTGATCTATAATTACAGCAGGTAAATTTGGAAACAAGGTTGCACACGCATGCGCAGCCATCCCACATTAATGAGTGGGGCAAGGGGCAAAGGAAAGTTAGAGCAATTCAGACCAGCTGACAACAAAATAATTATTTAAAATTGAAAATAATGCTTACTATTGGAAATGAGCATTCAGTGAACAGATCGAACAGCATTTGCAGCACTCTATATTCCTCCTGTTTAGATGTCATTTCATGTGTGTGATCATAAGTAGCAAAACAATACCAACCATAGAAGACAGGAAGGTATGAAACGCTGGTGTATTAAATCATTTTACTTAAGAATAACCCATATCATACCACCATTGGCATTTGATTGCTTCTACAGTATTTAAGTATCAAGCAAATGAATGCATTTGCAGCTACGCGATACTTATAATAAATGATCTTTCCAATTGTAATCAAATGTGATGATTGTGCAGGGTTGTTTACAAGAGCCATGTCAATGAGTGGCTCTGCTTTGGCACCATGGGCCCTCAGGAGAAATCCTAGAGCGGATGCATTATACCTAGGATCAAGTTTGGGATGCAATGATCCAAATCCAAAGGCACTTGTAGCATGCCTGAAGGAACAACCTGCTGAAGAAATCATTAAAGTTCAAAAGAAAATGACTGTAAGTTGAAGATCAAAGTTGAAAAAACCAATCAATTTAAATCACTCTCTTGCCTTTTTTTAAAGGGATCCAGTGGATCAGCATTCCATTTTGTACCAGTGGTAGACAAGCATGTGCTACCTGACACACCTGAAATACTCATCAGCAAAAGGAAAGTACAGCCTGTGCCTTGGCTCACTGGCAGAGTCAGGGATGAAGGACTCATGGGATTCACTGGTTTGAAATTATATATAAGCTTTCATCAAACTAACCCTTACCCCCCTTCCATTAATAATTTCAGAGGAAATTCTGTTCAGTCCTGAGAACTTGAAGAAAGTGGATGCAAACTGGATTAGCTATTGCCCAAGTTTGCTGGAATTCCAAGAATTAGATTCTGAGAGGGCTGCCAAAAGGTGTGCTGCCATCAGAGAATTTTACTTCAGGGAAAGACCAATTGACTATGACTCAACCTATGACTTCCTAGAGGTGAAATCTTTGAGCCAATTATTCATAGTCCATTGTTGAAGTGTATGTGCTTGATTCCTTTCATAGATGATTGGAGACAGATGGTTTGAATTGCCATATGCCTTTAGCATCACGTTCCACTCCATGATTGCGACCACTTTTGGATACAAGTTTAATTACCAAGGATCATTTGCCCCTATAAACACCCTCTATGTGAAGGCAGTTGGGATGGGTCAGAAGTCCATCATTGGAGGTATTTAAATTCCATTCAAAACTGTGGAAAAATAGATAATTCATCCAAAGGTATTTTGTAGCTGTTGCACATGGTGATGACATGCAGTTCCTCTTCTACAATGAAAAGAAGACTCATCACAGAGATGCTGCTGTGGCCAAGGCATTCACTGACATGGTGGAGAGCTTTGTTGTGTATGGGTAAGTGGTAACTTTGCTCTTATGCATACCTTAATATTCCAAGTGCTTGATCTCATTTCTGAATGCCTTCAATAATGGATAGATCCAGAATCATGGATAATCAAATTTTCTTAAATCCCCATCCACACATTAACCATCTTTGTAAGAAATTACCAAACCCCTTGTTTTCTTTCACAAAGGTTGCTGCATCACAAAAATTTGCTCCAAGCTTTTATGTCAAGTAACCAAGAATTATCCTTTGTTTTCCTTTTAAATTATTCACAAAAAAGATGCATGTGGTACTTGATTAACTTGAGTGAATATAAAATACAGACAAGGAATTCACATAAAAATACATTATTGCAAACATAAGAAATCTTGAAGGAAATCAATCTGGATATCTTGTCAATCAGGGTGATATAAAATGGATGAAATTTAAAGTGTACCAGCCATTTCTTCAGTCATTTTACACTAATAAAAGCCCAGAAAGCAGGATTCATTTCACAATTGGTTTCCTAACCCTCATTTTCTAACAATGAGTGTGGTTGTATGACATATTTATACAGAGAACCAAAATATGTGGGAACAGCCAATGGAAAAGGAGGATATTCCATGAAGTGGAGACCCTATGATGCCATCTCAGGAGACTTTGTGCATCAATTGGTGGATTATCCAGTGAGGTTAGAGACTGCAGAGGAGATCACCAACAAGATCCACTTTTGGGAGGATGTACTCACTGACAAGTTCAGCCATCCAAGTAAAGCTGGAATCCAAATGACAGAGCACATCAGTGTAAAGTCTGCACCAACAGGTGCACCTGACAACTCTGCTGCTCTGCCTGCAGCTGCACATAGCTTCCAAAACTATTCATCAATTGAACAATAAGCAAATCAAGTAGTCCTTCACCACAATTTCAATACATTCTCTTCCAGATGTGATGGCAAACCTCTTTCTAAACAACAGCTGAATTGGAAGTACAAATAATGCGTTATTGCAACAACAAAAAATGCTGAAAACCCTCCAAGTGGAGTTTTAATATGGATCTTTCTTGTAAGCTGGATTGTCATAAACTGCTGGTTCTGTGTCAGCAGCCTTGGGATTGTTCCAAGTTTGTTCTTCTCCACTGCCAAAGAGGAGGTACTCAATGGCATCAAAAAGCATAACTGCAGCACAAATCCAGAAAACTGTTCTCCAAGCACTTATTGTTTGCTGAAAGGAAAAAAATCATGCAATAGGTCTTTTGGAGTGAATCAGGAATGCATACAAAAAGAATGCAGTACATTATCTTTTGTGATTGACCCAGCAAGCAGTGGTGCAGTCCATGAAGTTACAGTAGCAGCAGAATTTGTTAACCCCAGCAGTGATCCTGGAATTAAACATTGTCCAACAATTGAGATCATTCTCCTGTTTCATTGCATGTACAATATACTCCACCTGCAAAGTTTGGTGCAAGATCTAAATGATTGGCCATATATCCTGAGTAGACACAGCCTTGACAAAGTCCAGCAATGCAAAAAAGCACAACACTTGTGGTTCTTGAACAACCAACATAAGCTGCTCCTATGAGACACAGTGCTGAGCCTCCTTGTGCTAGGGAACACATATTGTCATCAATGAAAATATTCAACTATGATACTGTTCAGCTGCTTTAATGTATGAACTATATTGTGCTTCAAACATTCATCAATCATGCTTTATGGAAAAAATGTCCAGTTGAATGACAACAATTTAATTTTCACAAAGCCAAAGAAAAAGACATTTGTTCAATAAAATTTGTCTTCAATGCAGAGGCCATAGGTATAAAAACATCAAATTACCCAATTTTTGGCAACAATATTATAATGTATTAAAACATGCCTCAAGTTAGGGTACATAGTCTCCACAATTAATTTTATGATTTCACTGAATCTTATTCATTTCATTTAAAGAAACAACTCTTTCAAAATAGCATCCTTGAAATACAGCACATATCACCTTTTATTTTGCTTTACAAAACATTGGTGCCTCAAATTTTATTTCGAATAAATTCTTGCTTGCAGTTTTGTTTGATTTTGTTTCTTAACAGGATGCAAACGGTTTTTACAGTGAATTTACATTTGGTGTGTCTTTGAGACTGTGTGGTTACTGGGGGTATTAGTTATTGGGATGCAATTTGTAGCTTATTTTATTTCTTTTTGGTATGAATGCCCATCCATTTCTTGGGTGGGAGATTGTCAATGGCATTTATTTTATTTTTGAGGCATCATTGTCTTTTCAAGTCACACTTTCTTCTGAAATTATGAAGAAGTGTAGAGTTTATAAAAAGAACTTAGTTACCATGGCTTGAGTTGTACATTGCATTGGTCAGGCCATTTTACCTAATGTGTTGGAAATCTTTCTGACTGCTGTTGTTGACAATATCTTCTTAGACCTGCAATAGTCCATGATGTGAGCATGTATCTGCGTCCATCCAAACAGTAAAACATAGGGCAGTGCAGAGAGGAGTCCATTCTTAAAACCACAAAAGAAAATAAAATTTTTTAAACAATGTGGGATGTTGTAACAAGCCTTGTTGACCTCTTGAATTTCAAAATGAAGGATATTGTTCATGTAAGTTGGTAACTGAGTCAAGAGCATCCAGTAACCCAGGTTATTTCCCATGTGAGTCACCAAAAGCCCCCAAAATGGAACTGAAGTCAAAATATGCTTCCATGGAATACTTGGGACCTAAAAGAAAGTCAAGTCCATGAAATCATAAAATTAAAATTTGTTTGAAATGAGTCCCAATATACTCACTGCCTTCTTCTCCTCCTTGCTCAAGCTCACCAGGATGAACAATTTCTCTTCAGCTGATATGTAGGGATGGTTTTCAGGACTGTCTGACACCAGAAAGAACCAAGCTACAAACCATATTGCAGTCAGTCCTCCATAAAAGTAAAAAATTGACTCCCAGCCCCAAGCCTGCATCATGACTCCACCTTGTGCCAGGGTCAGTATAGTTCCCATGGCTGAGCCTGGATGTTAACATTTCAATTTTTAAAATACAATTAGTGTCAGAGATGATTCAGCTTGTGTGAGAAAATTTTGACATCACCAGCATACACCATAGAAGCCATTCTACTCCTTTCCAATGGTGGAGCCCAATGTGCAAGAATGACATGCATGGCAGGGAATGTAACACCCTGGTGAGAAATATAGCAAAATGAAGTGTCAAGACAGGAGTGAATGTAATGTTGAGAACCTGCCTCAGCCATGCCAATCATAACTCTGAGTCCAATTACTGCAGAGGATCCAAAGCTCTTGGCAGCCATTGGGGTCAGCAAGGATAACAACCCAGCTATCAGCAAAGGTACACCCAGGACCAACTTCCCTCCTAAATTCTCTTTGAAAAGAAAGTAGAGCTGTGGGTCAACACATGACAATACTATACCAGATCTCATTTCTTAATGATTTTTTATATGCAAAACACCAGATCCTCAAGGTTTTAATGAAAAGAAGGTAATATAGTCTAGGATAAAGGGGAAAATTAATTTTCATCTATAGAAAAGTACATAATCAATCAAGTAATTAACATAAATCATCATATGTTTGATGAAAAAATAAAGAGATGGAAAATTCCTGGCCCAAAATGGACAAATTAGACTGTGAAACATGTTTGATACCTGGTGAAGGCCAGAATTTTGGACCTTTATTTAAAATATGTGCCTTGTTTTTGCATTTGCATGCATTTTACAACTTTGAAACCTTCTTCCTTCATTGTCAGTAACAATGTTTCAATGTAATACTTTCTTACATTAATCATTTTTTATCAGCAACAAATTTTAAAAGTGTAACTTTGCCATGGCAAAAAATACAGAAAGAAATAAAATGTAATCACCTGCCAATCTGCCTCCCAGAAGCTGGGTGGTGATGTATCCAAAGAAAACTGAGCTCAGAATCCATGATTGAGTGCTTTCATCCCAATCAAACTTATCACTCCCCTGTAAAAGCAAGGACCTTTCTCCAGAATCAAGTTATTTGACTGTATCCAAAACTAAAAGCATTTAGAAATGAAAAGTTGTGCATATAGTAAGTGATCTTTATATATTGGACTCTTTTCATTTTGTGTGAGTCTGATAAGAAACCATTGCTGAACAACTTCAGAGACCAATGAAAAAAAAAATTTATTGTACTCTTGGACATGTTTGGCAATTTTAATGAAACAGTATTTTATAGGGGAAACTGCTCCAACCTGCAAATCCACTTATGTTAATGGGTAAGACTTTCCTCTTTGATAATTTTAAGATAATTGGATTAATTTGTCAACACATTTCATCACTTATTCATGAGCATAATCCATTTGAATTATTATTAAAAGTTTTGTTTCTGAGATTGCATTTCTTTTTTCCAAGAAAAAAATAATGAAAAAGAATTCCAAAACACCAAAAAAAGGACTTCATTTTACTTTACCAAATTATGACTAAAGTACATCCCTCACCTGCGGGTCTGCATTGGAAGTATTAGTTTTTGATCTTCCACATTCATCACTGCCACTGCTGCTGGTTTGGTTCAATGGCACCACCATCTCTACTATGGCCAAGTTGATGTTCACCCTCAAGGCATAGTTGCACACAAATGCCCAGAAGCTGACAAATGCCACCAAGAACCTGGCCTTTGACCAACTTCTCACATCCTGTGGTGCACTGGTATCTGGGACACCTTGAAAAGTTCAAAAGGTTTTGAAAAACACAGGACTGATGCCTGCAGCACAGCAGTGTCATCACAATAAAGTACTGCTTATGTGATGATCACTTGAAAACTGCTGCCACATATGCAGCAAACGACCTTATATACCATTCTATCCCAGAGATCACTATATGTTGGTTTACTATCTGAGTGATAGGATAAAAGTTTTTTTTACAAAAAAAGCATGTTCTTTTTTGTTCACCTTCATTTGCCTGCATCGCGGACAAGAGGGGGGAAAACAGGAGCCGGGCTGCAGGAATATGCAAACAAAAACACTGTGAGAAAGTCCCGCCTCTCTTTCTCTCTCTCAGCAGCACTTGCGATAATGTTGGTCACTCTGGGATTTATGCTGATAAGACCACTAGGATTTCGAACAGTCTATCTGTCTCATTTATCTCTGGAGTGCGTATGTTCGCTTTCACTGGAACGCAGAAGTTGAATGCGATTTTCCAGGTGATGTGTATATATATGATGAAGCACCAGCAGCGAATTGATGACTGCGGTGATCGGTGGGAGGGGAAAATCCAGGAAATCCATTTTCATATCGAATAATGCCCCAAATCGACAGATTTTCGACGAATTTCTCACCAGACTGCGATTCATATTGTGATATGTTCCCGCTCGATTGTTCTTCTTCATTCTGTACGGTACTTATTCTTATATTCAAATCACTATGGGGATTTGAGGAGGGGGAACGCATATCCCAGCGTGAAGCGCTTCTCCGCGCTCCCTGGCAGAACAACCAAGCATATATCTTGAAGGTTTGATTTTATTGTTTAACAGATGTCGCACGACACGCAGTGAAAAATCTCGATGGAAGACTGTACGCGGCACCAACTCAAGAAAAATGAAACTAGTGCTCGCTTTACTCTTTTTCAACGTCAGATGTCACTCACTTAATTTCGACCGGAGAGACGGGAGATGAATAAAGCGGACGGGCAAACAATAATGATTCTCAATTGGCATTAATTCTTAATTGAAAACTATTTTAACTGAATGTGAATCATAAGTTTACGAAATTTAATGAAAAATTTGTAAAATGCCCTATATCTGTACTCCAGAAAAATGTGCTTTGATCCAGATTCTTACAAAGGTTATCAGGAACGATCTCATAATTACTGCTACAGTAAGAAATGCAGACTCAAGAAAGGAACCCACACCGCCTTCCCCTGTGAGTACTGTCAACCCTTGATTCAGTACCTCCAATCCAAGTGCCACCCTGGCATATGATCACAAATTTTCCTGGTGCTGTACAAATCTCCCTCCATTATGTTTTCAAGGGAAACCCTGATTTAGTGCAAACTTACTTAGTGCCACACAAAACTCTTACCCATGTTCACAAATGGGCAAAAATGGAAGTAATCGAAGGATTTTTCTATGGATATTATTGGGACTTATACCTGAGAATCCTCATGGCCCATGATCACATAACACTAACAGGATTAATTATGCATAATCTTTTTTTAATTGTTACATTTATTGTTGAAAAAAATTTTCCTGCGTTACGCCCTTCTTCATTGAAAAAAATGAAAAAGTGGGAGTAGCTTTTGTGGAAACATATAGGTGATTTTTCTTGATAGTACAGGACTTGAAATAAAACTAACCCAAATGCACACAAAACTTCCAGAAACAGGTCTGATCTTTTACTTGACATCATACATTTAAAAATCTTATTCAGTATATCCTGCCTCAGTAAATATTTTGAAATTCTGTACAATAATATAAAAACATTACCTTTGAGCTTCAAATTATTTATTCTAGCGTTCTCTCTTTTGAAACACGGTGACTAGCCTAAAAATTTTGTAAGCAAGCTTATTTTCCTACAATGAAAAATTGAAAACCCCCAACTGGACCTCTCTCCCATACAATACCCTCAATTTAGTGCCACCCTTGCTTAGTGCCCCGAAAGTGGAGGCACGAAATATAGAACGGACTGTAGTTCATTGGCGCGGAGCGAGTTGGCGGGGAGGGGGGGGGCAGAGTTGGATGAACAGAAAGAGAGGACAGAGACGGAGATACAATGAAGAAGAGGAACGTGGGACAGGGCGGGCTTCTTTCCCAGGAGACAGGCGGCGATCAGACGAGGTTTCAGCTCCATGCGAGCTCACTACCGTTCATGTACAGTATACAACGCCTAATACAGTACTCTCGAAAACAGCGTGTTGCCTTTATGCCACAAAGGCGTTGCGTAAATCCTGCATCAGACATGCATTACGTCATTATTCGTCTTCGTCAGTACCATAAGTCTGAGATGAATCGATCCGTTCATCTCAGAATACGCGCGGGCAGTAAATGTCACCGATCTGATCTCAGTTTACACAGTAAGTCTTTATGAATTTTAGGCACAGGTACTTTTCATTCGTGTTCCAATGACGGTGTGGTCTTCTTCTTTTTCGTTCCCTGGCGGCGACGGCAACACTATGTGAAATGAGCCACACCCTCCATCACTTGGCGACCAGCAGCAGCAGCAGGAGACGAATGCTGATGCAGGTTGTTGGGGTCATTCAACGTCTAGACGAGCTCTAGCCTAAACATGCAAAGTCCTTCAACCTGCTGGAGTCGGAAAGCAGTCGCATTCCGGATGCAAGAGGCTCTGGACCTCTGATTATTGTCTGTAGCTGTGGCCTCATAAGTAAGATATATTGCTGGTGCTGGAGAACCTCTTTTAGGCAAGTTGCAATAAGTGAGGAGCAGTAAATTGTGCAAGAAGAGGTCTTCAGTTGGGAAAATTAGATTTTTGCCATGAAAAAATATTTGAAGGAAATTAAGAATTGGTGTTTTTTTGTGTTGTTGCTCAAAAGTTGATCTTGGAATACTGATCATTTGATTTCAGAGCATAAGTTTCTTTGCCCAATTAGTTGTTCACTTCCTTTCAAGAAGGATCAAGTTAAATTTCTATTGTGCTTTCTTTATTATTCCTACAACAGGGTCATAAGAATAATAGTCAAAAGGTGTCCAGAATAATGTATTTGAGATTTGAGTTTCAGAGGTTTTGAGAGTCTAAGAGTTGTGAAAGTTTTTAATGCATTGATTCTAAGGGTATTCAGACAAGGAATAGAAACATAATTGGCACAGAGGGAGGTATTTTGACTCACAGGGGTTCAAGTAATTAACTTTTGACTGTACAGTACATGCATGGTTTCTATACAGTTGAACCTCAATAACTCAGACCTCCTTCAGTCAAATATCTAGCCTATGTATAATTTTTTCCAATTGCATCTTTGAATTCCTTTATAGAAGCCATACATCACATACCTTCCCAACTCAAAGACTTTCCCTTTCAAACCTTCATAACTTACATTTTCTATAGAGGCTTTTTGCTGATTATTTTGTTGACACTGGAAAGATAAAAGCAGTAAAAATGTAACTGATGTGTTTTGAAAAGAAATGAAAGACTAAATTGGACAAATGAACCCTTGCCTCCAAGTTCACCCTGCTGTCAATTCCCTGGAGAAGAAATTTATGGCCCAGAATATCAACAATTACAATTTCCTCTAATCATTTTTTCCCCTTTAACAAGAAAGCTGGTTCCCAAATTGAAAACTTCTCTAAATCAAATTTATTTGCTGTTCCCTTAAAATTTGACTTGCAGAGGCTCCACTGTACTTCATACTCCTTGTGTGAAACAACAACATGTGTGAACTATAGATCTTCTTGCCTACAGTACACTAAAAAATATTTCCTAATCTTTTTTTTCTTATCCTGTGCTGGTTGCTACAATAGAGGGTTGCCAGTTTATGTTATACATCTTTTCTTGTCTTTTGGGGAACAATTAAAGCAGTGAAGGCAATATAGTGTGACTGAAGGACACCATTATAGAGATGAATGGAGTTGAGCAAGCAATAATAAGTGCCAGCACCAAAGGGACTCTGGTTTTTGTACATGGAGCTTGGCATGGACCATGGTGTTGGACCAAGATGGTAGACTATTTCCAACACCAAGGTTATGAGTGTCACACAGTGACCCTGAGAGGACATGGGGTCCCAGGGGGGAATCCAAGAGGCATCAACAGGTACACCATTTCAGACTATGTCCAGGATGTGGTGGACTGTGTCCAGAAGTTGGGTGAGCAGAATGTCATTCTGGTTGGCCACTCCATGGGTGGTTTGCTGGTGCAAAAGTACTTGGAGAAGCACTCATGCCAGGTGTGTAATATTTTTCTAAATTCTGTACTTTTTACAAAGCTGATGTATTTCTTGCCAGCAAGTAGAAGAGGATTGGGTTTCAGAATAAAGTCATGTACAGCAGTATGCTACACTGATGCTAATTGTTTGTCTATATCCAGTTTGTTCATTTCTGAAACACTTAGTATACAGTATATTGAAATGTGAGCTATAGGTCCTCACATTGAATTATTTTGTAGGAACATTTTTCATAAACTGGTACAGTATTTATGTTTCTGACAAGTCTTCTGTAACTTTATGAGTAAATTACAATACTGTACAATATTTTTGGAGCAGCAACATTATGATGCCTGTATAATAGTAATATACTGTACTGTAGTACTGAGGCAAAAAATAAAATGTGGTCCCCTGAATTGCTGAATATCTATAGTCTCTGAGTAGAAACTCCAGCAATGGACACTTCTCACCTTTATCATATATGTTTCTATAGAACAGGAGGACTTTTCTAACCTAAACCTCACTTATGCCATGCTTTTGTTCAGTCCTTGCTGTTTAAATTGATTAAAGAACACCTGATATAGGCATCCCCATGCAATAACTGGAAGNATTTGCCATTCTAAATCGGTTAGCGAGAAAATTTTCAATTTCCGACTTGAATATACAAAGGAAGTTCACAGAGCCTCTCTGTGCCGCTGAATCCATTAGCACATTAGTTTAATTAGAAATCCAGTTTAACGCATTCGATGTCTCGAATAAACTCAAATTTTCCTCAGAACCTTAAAAGCGCACACTTCTTGAAGTTATCAAGCATATTATACAGCAGATGAGGGAAGGTTTATCTTCCGCGTGTTAAAAGCTATATCAACGCTACATTTTTGGAAAATTCGTCATTTAAAATTCATCAGGATGCCCCAATTTCCACCGATTTGGCGTAGAAATTTTCAAACTAGCCAACAAATTATTTTGATCTCTTGAATGCATTTTTTTTAAATTTTATGAACGCTGAACGAATCACATCATTGAAATCAAGTCCGATGACAATCAATTTTCCTTTTAAATGATGAATTGATGCAGCAAAAGTTATTCAGCATCGATTAATACCACTATTCCGTCAAAAAAGCACAAATGCAATACAAAGAATCAATTTTGAACTGCTTTTTGAGAAATTGATCGCCGAAAACAGTTGATCGTCGAAAAATGTCGACGAATCCTCGCTGTCAAGAATTATACGATCGCTGATTTACAATACAGTAATTTTTTTGCGTGGTTCTTCCTTTATTAAACTTATATAAGACTAG